CATGATTAGGCCATCTTACTAGGGCCCCGCAACCTCCTGGCCTTACCCCCCCTCCCCCGAATGGTCCCTATGAATCCCAGGGTCATGCTTTCCCCCTGGGCTGGGAAAAGAGTTCTCCTTCGTTTTTGCTCGACTTCCGTCGCTTGTGAAAGCCTAAACTTCGCAGGGATTTAGGGTTTAGGGGGTTTGCATTTTTAGGGGCCTTAAGATGTTTCGGGTTTAGGTTCTATGGGAGGCTTAAGATGCTTAGGGTTTAGGTTCTATGGGTTGTATGGGGTTCTTGTAGGCTGATGCTCTAGACATCGACCGAACAAGCAAGGAAAACACGCCGAAAGAAAGCCCTACCAAGAAACCCCTGACCACCCCAAGCCCTATACCCTATACCCTATACCCTATACCCTCTGCCCTAAACCCTAAACCCTAAACCCTAAACCCTAAACCCAAGCCCCGTTTCACCACGGAACAACAACAACGACCACGTGCCCAAACGACTCCCAAAATCAGGCCCTAGGTCGCAAACCCAACAAGCGTATGTTACAGGGTGCGCCGTACTTAGAGTCGGGTTGAAGGGGTATATTACCCTAAACATGTATAGGGACTGTAAGGGACCTCTGTATTACCTTGCAAACCCCAAACCCTAAACCCTACTTGGAGGGGCAGGGCACTTAGTAAGTAGGTTATAAGTAGAGTTATAAGTACCCTAAATGGAGTTACCCCAATTATAACCCTACTTCCAAAAGACTTGCTAAGTCCGCTGCCCCTCCAAGTAGACCCTAAACCCTAAACCCCATAATTAGATCCCTTTAAGGATCCCTATAGATCCCTTTAAGGAGCCCTTTAAGAACCCTTACTAAGAGCAGACCTTGTAAACCCAAGCCCTGACCCTGCGCGAGGACCCGGACCCCTCTGCGGATTCCGTCAGCTCCATGGCATGTCGCAAGTTGCCTCGCAAAAACATCCCAAAGCGGTTTAAAGTTTAGGGTTCAGGGTTTAAGGCTTTTAGGGTTGAGGGGTCATGGTTATTCGGGTCTCGAGCTTAGGGGTTTAGAGTTTAAGGATATTAGGGTTTAGGGATCCCGAAATCTTCAAGAATAGGGCTTTGGGGGGCACAATACTACGAGGATCATCCTGAATCGGGGCTAGAAGTAAGTAGAAGCTTTGCTACTGTAATTTTAGTAGTACTAAGCCTACTATGGGACTTAGTAGTTAACTGGGGATATAAAGAAGGTAACTATAGTCATAATTCCTTATCATTCCTTATAACACCAATTCAGGTACTTATAGCCTTACTAAGTCCCATGATCCTCCAAGTAGCTACTGCGTCCCGCGAACCTTGAAGTATAGTACGGCAGCGTAGACCTGTATTCATATTGGGGAAGCAATGAGTAGTAGCGACTGATATGTCAAGGGGGGCCTAGGGTTAGGCGCCACAGACAAAGGGCTCAGAGTGTTTGGCAGATTTTAAGGCGCACGGGGTTCTGGGTCCAGGGTCTAGGGGTGTAGTGGTTTGGGTTTAGGGTAAAGGGCTACGGTTTTTATGGTTTTGGCTTTAAGGTAAGCTCAGGGGTTTTAGGGTTCAGAGTCTATAGAGTCTAAGTTTACGTTTTCAGATTGAAGTTACAACAGGGAACGCAAACAGATCAGGGATTTGCATGGTCTAAGTAGGGTTCCGAGCTGGGGTGTGGGGCTTAGGGTTTGGGGTTTGGGGATCCCAAGTACCGATACATATTGGAAGGTAAGGTTTGTATGTTGGGACAGTTTACGTAGGTATCCTCCATGTATACTTTGAACTACAGACAAATGCCGCAACATGGGAAGCTTATCCTAGCTTAAGGCAGCAAGCAAACCCGGGACCCCAAGCTCAAACCCTTCGTTGCCAAGCAAGTGTCGTACCGGAACGTCGCCCACAGCAAGCAGCTGCATGTTTTCGAGATGGTCGTAGCCTTGTTTTTGGGTTTACGGTCTGGTCGAGGCTGCAGCGAGGATCTAACCTAGAAGGGACAATATGCAATTATGTGTATATATATATATATATACATATAAGTATGTATAGAGAGAGAGAGAGAGAGAGAGAGAGGGAGAGAGGTGTTTCTATACACAACGTAGATTAAATTGCAGGGTTCATGTATGTATATATAGATATATAATATCCCAGCAGCATGCCACTACATGTAGAAGCATGGATGAGCAAATGACTAATGTAGGATCGGCAATGTCGGCATGGGCATCGTGTCATGTTTCCACGAATGCAGACAGCGGTCTTATGTCACACTGCTTGAAAGAGAAAGGGCCAGGGTTGCCAGACTGATTCATCCTGTACACTGTGCAAATCCAGCCCATAGCATCTCAACACCAAAAATCAAACTCGGTCAGCTTCCAGCTGTTGCTGGCTTTGGTCCGGAAGGGGTGCTTCGGTAACCGCGCGGGCGCTTCTGCTGCAGTCGATCGGTCCAGCTTTTGCCTTTTCTGAAGGCCTTTGCCACCAAAGCCTGCTTCTTGTGACATGCTTTCTGCTTCTGCAAAGTACGCTTTCGGCAGTGGGCGTCCTTGGCCGAAATGCCGTCTGACAGCAGCAACTCGGCATTCCAACGGCCTTGAACAAGAACACCGGCCAGGAACTTGTCCATGCCATGACGGCACCCTAAAGCAGCGCACAGGAGCCGTCTGTCCGCTTGAGCTGCGGCTTCCTCCAGCAGATCAAAGAATGAGTCGCGGCTAGCATGTTCCAGGATCAGGGACACGATTCTTTCGTACCTGCAGATTTCAGAATATGGAAATACATTAAATTATGCGGGGCTATGAAGGATCCTCGTATTTGGGGTCTATAGTAGAGCCCCCTGATGTTTGAAACTCCAACCTGGTGTTCCCCCCAGCTGCTCGCTGACGAATGCTCACGGCGAGGTCTAGGGCTGTGTGGCCGCGGTTTGTCCTCGCCTCGACGTCCACTCAGCCGTCCGTCAGGATGTCCTCCACCACCTCAGGCCATCCCTCCCGCCGTGGCATGGGGAAGGACAGAAGTTTGCGCAGTTCTTCTGAAGCATCCCGGATTTGCTGGTGTAGCCACGGCCAACGCCGCTGGGCAGAGGCCGTGGCTACACCAGCAAATCCGGGATGCTTCAGAAGAACTGCGCAAACTTCTGTCCTTCCCCATGCCACGGCGGCATGAAGGGCTGTGCAAGATTCCCCGCAGAAGTCAATACCCAAGAAAAAGATTTCGGGCATGTGCACGTCTGCGAGAGCATCAGCACACCGAAAAGCAGAATGGTCCAGCAAGTCTTCGCAGGTTTTCGCCTTGCTCATTTTCGGCTTGTTGACTTTAAGATTTGGGGCAATATAGGCGCCCTGACAACCAGAGTAAGAATATGGGCTACAATATGGCATGCTGTTATTAAATTGAGGAATCTTCAGGTATGGCGCTGGTATCTCTTCCGACACTTGCATAACCAAGCACTATAATAAAGCCCAAACTCACAAACTGCAAACCTCCAAACACTGAAGCCTAAAGCTTACTTTATAAACTACACCTCAAATCCCCAAACCCCAAACCTTAAACCCTCAACGCCCTAAACCCCAAACTTCCAACCATAATGCCCTAAACCATCAACCTTTCCACCCACCTTAAAAACCTAAACATTAAACCCTAAACTAAACCCTAAACCAAACCCTAAAACCTAAACCTTAAACCCCAAAGAAAACCCTAAACCCTAAACCTTAGACCCTAAACTAAACCCTAAACCCCAAACCTCAAACCTAAACCTTAGACCCTAAACTAAACCCTAAACCCCAAACCTCAAACCTAAACCTTAGACTCAGACCCTAAACTAAACCCTAAACCCCAAACCTTAAACCTAAACCTTAAACCCTAAACTAAACCCTAAACCCCAAACCTTAAACCTAAACCCTAAACTAAACCCTAATCCCTAAACCTCAAACCCTCAAACCCCCAAGCCTCAAACTTCGGGCTTCGAGATCCCGATGGGGGGCACCGCGCTTTCGAGACTGAAGGCTGTTCGGGGAGCCACGGTTTAGGGTTTAGGGTTTAGGAGACTGAAGGCTGTTCGGGGTTAGGGGTTTGGAGGCTTAGGGCTTAGAGGTTAGAAGCTTTTGGAGGCTTAGGGCTTAGGATTTAGAGACTTCGTGGGTTTAGGGGTTTAGAGGTTTAGGGCTTAGAACTTAGAGGCTTTTAGGGTTTAGGATTTATAGGTTTAGGGCTTAGGGTTTGAAGGTTTTTAGGGTTAAGGGTTTAGAGATGCTTAGGGCTTAGGGTTTAGACGGTTAGGGCCGTTTAGGGTTATTTCCGGTAAGGGACTGAGGCTTAGGGTTTAGGGCTTCTCGAAGTTAAGGTTTACCTTAACCCCAAGTAACCTACCTTATGAAGGACTTATGTAAAGAAATCATCTGAGGGAGCGCTAAAAAGGTAGGTTCCTTCAGGCCCAGGCAGTGTTTAGGGATCGGGGGTTGAGTGGCCTGGCCGCATAGACATAGTGCAAAGCCGTGCAATTGTTGCAAGTGGTGCCAAAGATGAACCTTAGTTCAGGGTTTTGGGGTTATAGAGGTTTAGGGCTTAGGGTTTAGAGGGGTTGTAGAGGTCTAGAGTTTGGGTTTAGAGGGGTTAAGGGCTTAATGTTGATGGGTGCTAAAGATGAAGCTTGGTTCGGGGTTCAGGCCCAAAGGCTCCATGTACCTTTATAGTAGATACTTAAGCCTTAAAGGGGTCCCTATATAGGTACTTTAGGGCCAAAGTATATACTATATGAGCACATGGAGCCTTAGGGAGGGTTGCGGGGCGCCAACGATGAACCTCAGATGCCCCACTTCTTTGCGGCAAAAACCAGGATGGCCCCAACAGCCCTTCAATGGAGCCCGTGTGGTCCTTAAGTGGGTATTTAGGGTCTACTAGAGGGTAGTTGGGGGGTCTAAGAATATGCTTGACGTTCAGGTCTGGTGGGGTCGATGCGACGGAATACCAGGAACAACAAGAAAGATAAGAAGTTACGCAATCAACACCACAGGTGCGAGCATCTATCCCAAAGAGTATCCTGCTGGTTGACCTGAACTCCGGCCTGATCCGTTGCAACGATGTACGCCGCAACTTTCACGTCCCTCCGCTCTGCTGCACTGTTCCAGTAGGAGCCATCTAGCAACTGGCGTATCCAAACCACTTTCAAGAAACCCATGAGTGCCGGCGGCTCGCGGCGAACGGCAAGCAAAGCAACAGAAGGAGCAAAAATGCACATGCAGACAGGGTCGTCGAGCTTGCTCCCATCGCAGAGAATCTCCAGAAACTCCGAAGGCGTCTTCGCTGGGTCTTCCAGGATCCCCTTCAAGTCGCTGACCGTTGTCTGAGGATCTAGGAAGAGTCTGCTAATGATAGCTCCATTTAAAGCCCAGGAGACGTCTGCACATAGCTTGCTGTCGCAGCTCATGGCCTCCGTGATGCCTGGCTCTATCGGAGAGCCCACGATCTTCGAGAACTACTCAACGTGTAGGGTTTCGGGTTTAGGGTTCATTCTATGCTGTCTTTCGAAGGGCTGTACTTGGAGGATCAGGGGACTTAGTAGGCAAGGTTACAAGTACCTTAATGGGGGTTAGAAGTACTTAGAAGTATAGTTACCTTATTAATAGCCCCAGCCACTACGTCCCGTGATCCTGTAAGCAAAGCAAGATAAAAGCCTTGAGTACTAGATGCTGCATAAACCCTGAACCTCGACTTCCCAGAGCCTAGAACACTATAACATACTCTGAATTACCAGAATTCTGGATTTAGGGTTTAGGGTTCAGGATTATATACCATAACATACTATGATATACGAAACAAGATGTTAGAGACCATTCAGAGCTCTCGCGATCTTACAGCAGAAGCCTACGCTTGCGCCGAATCTGGAACTGCAAATGGCAATCGTCTCCGTCTAAAGTAAAAGCCAGAAAGTTGGAATATGATTATCCTAAACCCTTTACGGTAAATTATAAGGTATCCTACCCTGAAACCATATTCCAACTTTCTGGAGTTTCCTTTAAATCTCTGGGGTTCAGGGGCTGTGGGCTCGGGCTTTAGGCTTTGGGGTTTAGGAGAACCGGCAACCTAGGAAAACAAAGCTCCCTTTTTCTAGACCCAAGAGTAATGCAGGAATAAAACGGGTGCCCTTTTTGCTTTAAAGGGGCTTGTAAGGGAACCTGAACCCTAAAAAAAGGGAATAAGGGCCTACTCTGGGTCCTAGTTTTGGTATTGGGTAGTTTCATAAGGAACAGCAGACGGCACACGACCTAGATTGGGGTTTAGGGTTTAGGGTTTAGGGTTTAGGGTTTAGGGACGGCTCGTGACATTAGCCGGGTTTGCAAACTCGCTTCCTACGTTCAGGGTTTAGGGTGTAGGGGGACCTGACCTTAAACTCTGAACCCCCGCAACACTTGACCGGCCTATGTGCAGAATGTGGCCAGTTTCGGCTGTCAAGCGAAGGCTCAAACGCACATTTTCGGGCATTGGAAGACCCAGTCTACAATACATGCCATGCAAGATGCAACGGTAACAGCACAATCCGCGAGTGTTTGAAAGGAGAGTTAGTATCCTAAACCCAAAAACTTTTGTCCCTAAACCAAAACCCCAATCCCGAAACCTATAACGCCTACACCGGAGACGGAAACCCTAAATCAGAAACTGTCAATCAGAACTTCAGAATGTTGGTTTGGCACCAGATTTCGACAAGTAAACTTCGCTCTTGCCGGGCGTAGCTTACGATTTCGGCTTTGGCTTTAGGCTGTATTGTGGTTCAGGGTTTGGGCTTTCAGGTCTTGGGTTGAGGGATCTGGGTTTAAGGTTTAGAATTTAGAGTCTAGCAGAGAACAGCCCCCTGCACGGTCGAGGGTTTACATGGCTGTGCAGTGCAGGGTTCAGGGTTTAACAGAGTTTGCATTCCTACGGTTGATGATACAAATCCTGCATTACCCATAATAAGGAATATACCATCATTCCCATAGTTTAGGGTCCTGAAGGTAATGCAGGATTTATATAATCAACAGTAGCTCGGCCCTGTAAGGCCTTTGAAGAATATCCGGAAGTGAGATCCTCTTAGGCCCAAGAAGGAAACAACTGAGAAGCTTGGAGGTGGCCCGGGTCGCACGGCTTTGGGATTTAGGGATGTGGGTTTAGGGTTTAAGGTTTAGGGTTTATTGTACCTATAATATAGTGAACCCCAGAAAGTTGGAACATGGATTTAGGATCATTAGTGCTGAGATTCCCTCTACTTTACCTCAAGGGCATGAGGATAATGATGTTCCAACTTTCTGGCCTCTACTGTAGTGAAATATCCCAAGTAACCTACCTAGGATTCCTTTTGGTAGAGCTCGGAATACGTGCCTCGAAATCAGGTCTGCTACATGTAGGAACGGCCACCAATTCACAACAAGCCGAAGCACTGCGGTTGATGGTATAAATCCTGCATTACCTCAAGGATCCTAAACTCTGGGAAGTATGGTATGTTCCTTATTATGGGTAATGCAGGATTTATATCCTCAACCGTATGCCAATCAAAAAGCTTCACCCCCGCAGATCTCCCAAACCGTGAACTCCTTAACCCAAACAAAGTCAGCGTGAGGATGCGTAGTGAGGCTTCGTGGCTCCACGACTCTCTTGTTCAGTTTAGGGGTTTAGGGTTTAGGGTTTAGGGTTTAGTAATTGCGCCCCAGGAAAGTTCAACCCCCTTGCTTCGACATAGACCAAGTATATGAGGCCAAAAGTGTTGAAAGTTCTGCCACCCTAAACCCTAAACCTATAAGACGAAGGAGAGCAGGGGCCCTCAGCCACCACTTTTTGACATCAAACTGGGCGAGCTGCCGAACCGGTTCTACTGTACACTGTACAGGTCCTGCTCAAAGCCTCGGGGTGTAGGGTTTACGGTATTGGCTCAACACCAAAAATCAAATTCGGTCAGCTTCCAGCGGTTTCTTGCTTTGGTCCGGTAGCGGCGCTTGGGTGCATCTGCGGCGGTCGATCCCTCCAGCTTTTGCTTCCTGAAGGCCTTTGCCAGGAGAGCCTGCTTCTTCCGGCAGTCCTTCTGTTTCTGCAATGCACGCTTTCTGCAGGCAGAATCCTTCACAGTCATGAAATCTGAAAGCAACAACTCTGTGTCAAAACGGCCCCTAACAAGCACACCGGCCAGGAACTTGTCCATGCCATGACGGCACTCCAAGGCGATGCGTAGGAGCCGCCTGTCCTCGTAAGCTACGGCTTCTTGGAGCAAGTCCCAAAATGCCTCGCGGCTTGCGTGGTCCGCTATTCTGGACACGATTCTTTCATACTTGGCGTGGCCGTGGTGCCAATCTACTGCATGCTCACGCATGAGCACGGCTAGGTCCAGTGCTGTCTCGCCGCTTCGTGTCTTCGCATTGACGTCCACCCGACCGTCTATCAGGATCTCCTCCACCATGACCGGCGACCCCCGAAGAACGGCTAGGTGAAGAACCGTCTGCCCGGCAGCATTGGCCACGGCCACGCCACTAAAGCGGGGATGCTTCAGAAGAGCCGAGCAAACCTCGCTCCTGTCCCATGCAACAGCTGCATGAAGGGCTGTGCAAGACTCCCCGCAGAGGTCACCCCTAGTGGGGTGAATGTGCACGTCTGCGAGGGCATCAGCACATCCAAAAGCCAGATGGTCCAGCAGAGCTTGACAAGTTTCCGCCTGGCCCAAAAGCCATACAAACCCTAAACCCAAAAATCCTAATCCCTAAACCCTAAAACAGCTGATCGGCTTGGGGTTCGGAAGCAAACTTCAACGTCTGAAACCCTACAGCCCTGAACCCCTAAACCGTGTACCCTAAACCACAAACCCGCAAACCCCTAAACCCCTGCACCCTAGACTCCTAAACCCTAAACCTCGTGACCCCAAGCCACCAAAATCCCCAAACGTATATAAGTCTCTAAGACTCTAAACCCCTATCAATCCTAAACCTCTAAACCGCTAAACCATAACAACTTTAGGGCTTCGCGCTCAGAGCTCCCACCCGGTTTCAGGGTTTCAGGGTTTAGGGTTTCAGGTCTCCGAGGTTATGGGCTTTCGAGTTTTCTTTACGCGTTTAAGGGCCTTAGGGCCTAGGGCTTGTAGGTTCTGGGGTTTAGGGATTTGGGGTTTAGCCTTCAGAGTTTAGGGGTCTAGGGTTTAGAGATTTGGGGCTTTTAGAGGTTTGGGGTGGCTTGAGGAAAAGGGGCTTCAAACTTACTGGGCCTGGCCACATAGAGCTGCATAATGCAACGAAGTGCACTTGTTGCAGGTGCCAAACTGACACCTTAGTGGCTCCTGTAAGTTGAAGTACAAACTCGATGTTACTCGATGCTCGGTTCTTAGCATTACACGGTGGCCCACGTGCAACAATTCAAAAGTTTAATCCTACAAGCTCAGGCACCAATCATCGAAGTCATCCCAAGAAGTGTCAAGCTGGTTTACCTGAATGCCGGCGCGATCTGATGCAACGATGTAAGACGCGACCCAATAATCTCTGCTTTCTAGTGCAATGCTCTGGGATCTGTGCGACAGGGATCCATGCAGTCGTTTCTGCCATACCTACAGGGCGTGCGGCTCCATCTGGTGCTGAATTAATCTACAAAACCCCTAAACCTAAACCCTATACTGCAGCCTATACTGCTAAACCCTAAACTCCAAACCCAAAATTACGGCATAGGGCGCGAGGCTCAGGAAGCGCTGGGGCGGGATTGGGGTTTTTGAGGGTTTTTTGGGTTTCAGGTTTTATAGTTATAGGTAGTAGGGTTATGGGTTTAAGGCTTTTGTTGGAGTGTTTTAGGGTGAACGGTTTGGGTTACGGTTTGGGTTACGGTTCAGGGATGTTCAGGGTTTAAACTGTTCATTACCCTAAGGCTCAACATGGCCCAAAAGTCGAAAAAATAATATGGACTTTAGACCCAAAAGACTTAAAATATGAGTCCTTAGAGCCTCAGGGTTAGGGTTTGTAGAGTTCAGTGTTTAGGGCCTGAAGCTCCTAGCGCTTAATGCTTGCGCTACTTGGAGGATCATGGGACTTAGTAAGTAAGGGGTTATAAGTACCTTAATTGGGGTTATAATGATTTATAAGTATAGTTACCTTGTTTATGACCCAAGTTACGAAGTCCCATGATCCTTGAAGTAGGGTTTACGCTGCTCGGCTCCTGTCTCTACACCTCAAGGCCTGTCGGGCTTGGCCATGTATCATTCTTTCAATTACTCTTGCTCTTGGTCCTAGCATCATGATGATGATTATGATGAATTCCCTTCGTATTGTAGTAACCTGATCAGGAAAACTTCGGTCTTTGTTCGTGCTCTTTAAATAAATCCAAATATTTTGGGGTCTATAGGACCAGGGTCTCTTGATGAGGTTCCTACATTAACTGTTATGTCTTCTGTAGAACCTAAACCTCCTAGACCCTGAACCCTAAACCCTAGCCATACCTCTTTGAGGAAGCCAATCAGCTTCGGAGGCTCCCGGCGCACGGCCAGCAACGCCACAGATGGAGAGGCAACAAAGCTGGAGGTGCAGGCAGAGTCCTAACGGTCTTCAGGGCTTTAGCGTTTTCGGGTTTTCGGGCTTACGCAGAGTTTAGGGTGTTGAGTATCTGTTGTTTCTTACGTTGCTGGGGTTACTGCCGGCGTGTTTCGGGTGCAGGGTCCTTGAGCTTGCTCCCATTGCAAACAATCTCTAGAAACTCCGAAGGCGTCTTCGCTGGCCTTTCGAGCATCTCCTTCAACTTGCCCACGGTCGTATGAGGATCTAGGAACTGTCTGCTGATGGTAGTTCCAGTCAAGGCCCAGGACACCTCCGCATGTACCCTGCTTTCGCAGCCCATGGTGCTCGACATGCCTGGCTAAACCCTCAACCCCGAGCAAGTGCTCACCTGAACACTACACCCTAAACCCTAAACGCAAGCTCCTGAATGTTCGAAAGATCCGACAACTCCAAAGCTATTGCGCCTGAGCCGAACTCGGAGAAGCAAACTCGCTTGTCAGACCTAGCCTGCCCTGTCCTGAGGGTTTAGGGTTTGAGGATTAATCAGGGCACGGTCTGTACCTGGGGATTTTACACAACTCCGCTATATGCCGTCATACAACCCACAAGCATCCTTCGACCTCAGCACCGACCGGAAGTGGGATTCAGCATGCTCGGTCGTTTAGGTTGCAGTGCTTCGGCTGACGATTTGAGGGATTTCTTCTTCCTGTACTGGGAGGTTCATTTGACTTATCAAGTGATGTGACAAGTACCTTTATTGGGATAAACAGAAATTACAAGCATACTTGCCCTGGTAATGACCCTAGTTACTGAGTCCCATGATCCTTTCAGTGAGAGGGCAAGAACGATCAACAAGCTGTGTTAGCGAAACTCTTCCCCGTTGCAGGAATCACTCTACGCCCTTAACCCTACACTCCAGGCCCAGTAATGAAAAATAGTGAAATATCCCAAACACCTACCTAGGATTCGTTTGGTAGAGGTTGACATACGTGCCTCGAAAGGAGGTCTGCTACATGTAGGAACGGCCACCAATTCATAACAAGCAGAAGCACTACTATGCCCGTATGTCGCATGTCAATCAAAAAGCTTCACCCAGCAAATTTCCCAAACCGCGAACCCCTAAACCCAAACAAATAAGATAGACCAAGTACATGAGGCCAAAAGTGTTGAAAGTTCTGCCACCCTAAACCCTAAACCTATAAGACGAAGGAGAGCAGGGGCCCTGAGCCACCACTTTTTGACATCAAATGGGGCGAACTGCCGAACCGGTTCTGCTGTACACTGTACAGGTCCTGCTCAACGCATGTGGGTTTAGGGTCTACGGTATTGGGTCAACACCAAAAATGAAATTCGGTCAGCTTCCAGCTGTTGCTTGCTTTGGTCCGGTAGCGGCGCTTGGGTGCATCTGCAGCGGTCGATCCCTTCAGCTTTTGCTTCCTGAAAGCCTTTGCCAGGAGAGCCTGCTTCTTCCGGCAGTCCTTCTGTTTCTGCAATGCACCCTTTCTGCAGGCAGAATCCTTCACAGTCATGAAATCTGAAAGCAACAACTCTGCGTCAAAACGGCTCCTAACAAGCACACCGGCCAGGAACTTGTCCATGCCATGACGGCACCCTAAAGCAGCGCACAGGAGCCGTCTGTCCGCTTGAGCTGAGGCTTCTTGAAGCAGATCAAAGAAAGAGTCGCGGCTTGCACGTTCCAGGATCAGGGACGCGATTCTTTTGCACTCCAAGGCGACGCGTTGGAGCCGCCTGTCCTCGTGAGCTACGACTTCGTGGAGCAAGTCCCAAAAAAAATCGCGGGTTGCGTGTTCCGCTATTCTGGACAGGATTCTTTCATACCTTGCGTGGCGCCAATCTGCTGCATACTCACGCATGAGCGCGGCTAGGTCCAGTGCTGTGTCGCCGCTTCGTGTCCTCGCATTGACGTCAACCCGACCGTCCATGAGAATCTCCTCCACCATCGCCGGCGATCCCCAAAGAACGGCAAGGTGAAGAACCGTCTGCCCAGCAGCATTGGCCCTGGCCACGCCAGCAAAGCGGGGATGCTTCAGAAGAACCGAGCAAACCTCGCTCCTGCCCCATGCAACGGCTGCATGAAGGGCTGTGCAAGACTCCCCGCAGAGGTCACCCCTAGTGGGGTGAATGTGCACGTCTGCGAGGGCATCAGCACATCCAAAAGCCACATGGTCCAGCAGAGCTTGACAAGTGTCCGCCTGGCCCAAAGGCCATATAAACCCTAAACCCAAGAATCCTTAAACCCTAAAACAGCTGGTCGGCTTGGGGTTCGGAGCAAACTTCAAAGTCTGAATCCCTATAGCCCTGAACCCCTAAACCATGTTCCCTAAACCACAAACCCGCAAACCCCTAAAGCCCAAAAACCCCTCAAGCGCTCCAACCCTCGCTCAGTTGAGGGTTTGAAGCTTTCAGGGTTGAGGGGGTTTAGGGTTTAGGGTTTCGGGTTTAGGGTTTGCTGCAAGATTGCATAGCGGCATTATAACATGGATTGTAAGATTCATTAGCGGTTTTGCTGCGTGCGAATGGCAGCCATGGTCCGACTGTAAGCCATCACATAACTCACCCGCCCCACGCCTCGGACTCCGAGGCGGCAAACCACCCAAACCTGTACCTTTTAGTGTTTAGGACCTAAACTCGGCGTCAGGTCCATGTTGGTTAACAACAACCACAAATTCTGCAGCCAAGCTTCTGCGGGCCAGGCCAAGGGGGCCAGGGGGCGGGGGCCAGCACGGCTTGTGGAGGAGGGAGGCCAGGAGGCCAGCGAGAGGGGGGTTTTCGGGGCAAGGTGGGCTGGGGGGGTCAGGGGAGCCACACGGTGCAGGGAGGCACGGAAAACCTGTTTTTGATTCTTCCCACTGGAGGTTCCTTGGCCCCCCCCCAAAAAGGTTTAGGGTATTGACGAGAAAAAGGGACCAGCAATGGTCCCGAAGAGAACGTGTCCCGGCACCGGGCCTAACGTGGGTGCTACAGTACCCCTGGCTGTGGGACGAGCGTCCTGGATCGACCTGCGCCATCGATGTCGAGGGGCTTAAGCGCCGCCCACCATCGAAGGTGGGCGGCCTATAGGCCATGAGTTTCGGGTTTAGGCATGCGTTTGGGCCTTAGGGGCTAGGGCTTCCAGGGTGTCGGGTTTAGGGATTTGGGGCTTGGCCTTCAGAGTTTAGGGGTCTAGGGTTTTGGGATTTGGGGCTTTTGAGGTATGGGATGGCTTGAGGTTAAGGGTTTCAAACTTACTGGGCCTGGCCACATAGAGCTGCATAATGCAACGCCGTGCACTTGTTGCAGGTGCCAAACAGCCTTAGTGGCTCCTGTCAGTTGAGGGAAAATCTCGATGCTAGCCGATGTTCAGTTCTTAGAATTACACGGTGGCCCACGTGCAACCAATTCAAAAGTTTAATCCTACAAGCTCAGGCACCAATCATCGTGGTCATCCCAAGAAGTGTCAAGCTGGTTTACCTGAATGCCGGCGCGATCTGATGCAACGATGTAAGACACGACCCACGCAACTCTGCTTTCTGGTGCAATGCTCTGGGATCTGTGCGACAGGGATCCATGCAGTAGTTTCTGCCATACCTACAGGGCGTGCGGCTCCATCTGGTGCTGAATTAATCTACAAAACCCCTAAACCTAAACCCTATACTGCAGCCTATACTGCTAAACCCTAAACTCTAAACTAGGGCCTTAGGCTCAGGACGCTCTGGGGCAGGATTGGGGTTGTTTAGTTTTTGTTTTTTCGGGTTTCAGGTTTTATAGTTGGTTAAGGGTTTAAGGCTTTTGCTGGAGCGCTTTAGGGCGAACGGTTTGGTTACAGTTCAGGGATTTTCAGGGCTTAAAGGTTCACTAGGGTTTGAAGAGTTCAGCGTTTGGGGCTTGATGCTCTTAGTGCTTAAGGTTCGGGGTAAGGCCTTTTTGGGTGTAGACTCCCAAACCTTAAACCCAAAAAACTCTAAACCTCAAGCCCTGTAGGGCTTGGGCATGTATCACTGTCAATTACTCTTGCTGTTGGTCCTACCATGATGATGATGGTGATTACGATTCGTCCTCTTATTGTAAATGAGAAGACGTGATTAAGAAACCTTAGGCTTTATTCGTGCTCTAGATCCTGATACTTTGGGGTCTATAGGACCAGTGTTTCTTAAGCAGGTTCCTACGTTAATTGATACCCAGACCCCCGGGAGGATCTAGAAAGTAGATCCGCTAATTTGGGGCCCTATACTACTAAGGGTACTTTATAGGAACCCCCATTGAGGGATCTACTTTTTGGATCCTCCCGGGGGTCTGGGTATATCTTCTGTAGATCCTAAACCCTGAACCCTGAACCCTGGCCTCGATTGATGATAGAAATCCTGCAATACCCCACGATAAGGTTTGTAGGGTCTAGGGTTTAGGGTTCAGGGTTTTCTACGATAATTCCTTTAGTGTATGGTCATGAAGGTAATGTAGGATTTATTTCATTAACCGTACCTCCTTGAGGAAGCCGATCAGCTTCGGAGGCTCCCGGCGCACGGCCAGCAACGCCACAGATGGAGAGGCAAAGGCAACAAAGCTGGAGGTGCAGGCAGAGTCCTAACGGTCTTTGGGGCTTTCGCGTTTTAGGGTCTTGGGGCTTGGAATTTAGGGTGTTGAGTATCTGTTGTTTCTTACGGTACTGGGGTTTTGGGGCCGGCGTGCTTCGCTAAGTGTGGCTCAAGGTCTAGGGTGCAAGGTCCTTGAGCTTGCTCCCGTCACAAAGAATCTCTAGAAACTCCGAAGGCGTCTTTGCTGGCGTTTCGAGCATCGTCTTCAACTTGCCCACGGTCGTATGAGGATCCAGGAACAGTCTGGTAATCGTAGTTCCGCTCAAGGCCCAGGACACCTCCGCACATACCCTGCTTTGGCAGCCCATGGTTTTCGACATGCCTGGCTGAACCCTACTTGGAGGGTCGGGGGACTTAGTAACTGGTTATTTTCGGGACTTATAAGTACCATAACCCCAATTAGGGTCCCTTTTCTACTATTTGCTTAAGAACCACCAAAAAAATAAAAAATAAATTCCTTATGGTGGTAATATAGGGATTATTATTTTTATTTTTTGGGGGTTTCTTAAGCAAATAGTAGTTTTAGGGTACTTATAAGTCTACTTACTACCTCCTTACTAAGTCCCCCGACCCTCCAAGTATATTATAGAACCCTTGTTATAGACCCCTTTTAATTGCCCTTAGAGTCCCCTTTAAAGCACTGTCTGCAGTTCAGGCTTGAGGGTTCAGGGTTTAGAGTTTAGGGTTTAGGGTTTTAGAGTTTTAAGGTTTATTGTTTAGGGCTCTTTCCCTCCGGAAGCCGAACCTTGCGCCTGAGCCGAACTCGGAGCAGCGAAGTCTCTTCTCAGACCAACCCTGCCCTACTTAAAGGATCATGGGACTTAGTAAGGGTCCCAAAAGAGCTCTTTAAAGGGATCTATAGGGTTCCTTAAAGTGATCTATGGGGTTTAGGGTTTAGGGTTTATAAAGGAGCATGAGACTTAGTAAGTAGGTTATAACTGGGGTTATAAATCCCCTAAGTCGGGTTATCCTAATTATAACCTACTTATAACCTTACTTACTAAGTCCAATGAGCCTTTAAGTAGCCAACCTGCCTTCGTTGTAAGGGTTTAGGTGCTATAGACTATAGACTGTTGGGTTCTATTGTGAGGGCTCCTTCAAAAGCTTTGTTGTAAGGGTCTAGGTACTATAGACTATAGGGTTCTATTGTAGTTCCTTTTTGGCTCACCAACAACTACATTATAGGATCCTAACCATAAAACTGGCTTACCAAAAAAGGAACTACAATGGAGACGATAGGCAAGGGTTTAGGTACTATAGATTATAGGGCTCTCTTGTGAGGGCTCCTTTACAAGGGCTCCTTTAAGTGTTCTTATGAGGGTTTCTCTAATAGACTAAGGGTTCTACGGGCTTAGGGTCTCCCTGTCCGGTCCAACCTTAGGGGTCCTGCGCAGCCCATACTAAACATTTTACACAGCTCCGTATTGCAGTTGAACCTGCAACCTGGATGCGAGCACGGTGGTACTTCAGAACTACGAACCTACCAAGACCAGATCACCTGGCCGAATATCGGAGCCCGATGAAGAAACCGCTGGTCTTGATCCTAATAGTTCTAGGATCCGGGACTCTTAATCACGTTCCTACCTAATCAGCACAGTCGTCTTCTGGCGGAGTCAACATTTCGACAATGCGCATTTACAAAGTCTACACTACGGCTCACTCGGTTCTACTCGAGTGTTGGCAAGCTGGTCTATGGTTTTGGGGATTCGAGATTTAGGAGTCTGGGATTTACGGTTGAGATGCCGTGCATGGTCTAGGGGTTTGGGTTTTTGTCCGGGCTTTAGGCTGCCTAGCAGCATTGGAACCGTAAACACCTAGGATACCCAGTAACATAAGAATAAAAAGGCCTCTCTTTTTGGTATTGGGTAACTTTATAAGGATCCTAGGACTACAAAAAGGGAATAAGGGTACTACTGGGCATCCTAGACACTGTAATCGCCCTTCTATGCCCTCATACAACCCACAAGCATCCTTTGACCTCAGCACCGTCAGGAAGTGGGATTCAGCTTGCTCGGTTGTTTGGGTTGCAGTGCTTCGGCTGATGGTTTGAAGGATTTCTTCCTGTACTTGGTGGTTCATGGGACTTAGCAAGTAACGTGACAAGCAACCTTATTGGGGTTGTAAGAGTTTACACGCACACGTACCCCAATAATGACCCTAGTTACTAACTCCCATGACAATGCAGCGATCAGCAACCTGTGTTAACAAAACCCTTCCTAGTGGCAGGGATCACACTACGCCCGTTACCCTACATTAAGCCCGAAAGCCCCAAACTAACCCAAACGACCCTTAACTGCAAAAAACCCTAAGCCCCCTTAACAAAATCCTAAGCCAACCCGAGACACCCCGAAACCCAAGAACCTCCCATCTTTACAACTAGGGGTCCTTACAAAGGGCCTATTTGGGAGTTTCCGAAAATTAGGGGGTACCTCATTTTGGGGTCCCTACAATAAGGATCCTACTGAATCCTACTATTTCGGGTACTATATTAGGATCCCCTATTTTGGGAAACTCCCATTTATTAAATCTCTATAGTATAGGCTGCATTGTGGTGTTTTCGTGGTATACGGTTGTTCACGGGTGCAAGGTGCATTACAGGAGCCCTTGTTAACGAGAAAAGGGATTCAGAGTATAGTATACTGAACTCATGTTCAGGGAACCCGGTGAGGCATGGAACTACTGATGATTCAGGTCACTACCGGCACCGGATATTGCAGCTTGGCGGAAATGTTTTTGGTGGATGCCAAAGAAAGTAAACCCAAAGACGAAGTTCATCGGGCAGAAAGTCGTTCACCCCCAACTCATCTTTTCAGTTAATATAAGGGCCCTGCTAGTTGGAATAGGGCTTTCAGGTACATTGTCATCGAGATACAGTCCGGAACGGTAAGAAATCCTATTGGTAATTATGCCGACCCCTATGCTACTGTTGATGATATAAATCCTGCATTACCTTAAGGACCCTAAACTATGGGAATTATGGTATATTCCTTCTTATGGGTAATGCAGGATTTTTAGCATCAACCGCAGCATTCATCAAACACCCTGCCTGGAGCTCCACTTTGCGGAGATGGATCGTCGCCCAGAGTTATGCTTAGATATTCAGTCCCTTCACATCTCAACCCGATGCCCATTAACCCTGAACTATACTGAACTTAGAACCCTAGCAAAAATTCTAATAATAGATGTTTCTTAGGGATTATAATAACCAACACTTAAACCCTACACCTCTGCACTTGAACCCCTCCTAAACCCTTCTACTGAAGCACTGAAACCTACTGAACCCCTCCTAAACCCTTCTACTCATGCACTGAAACCTACTGAACCCCTCCTAAACCCTTCTACTGAAGCCCAGAGCTGCAAAACTGCACAGACAGAATGCACTGAAGGATGGATTTATTGCTTGCTCATATTAACTCGCATGTAGAAGTTCAGGAAGTTCAGGATTTGGGGGTCGGGGTCTCATTATCAGGATTAGGGTGTAAGGTTTAAGGTAACCCTAAACCCCTAAAGCCTAACCCTAAACTCCTAAACCCTAGACCTTACACACCGTGTCAGGATCAGGGACTCAAGAGCATGAGCTATAAGGGCAAGTCTACAGTGCAGGGTGTTCGGGTCACTTTCGGGTTTAGGGCTCCTTACTATGATTTCCTTATATAAGTCCTTAACAAGGTAGGTGATTCACGGGTTAAGGTAAGCCCTAAACTATACTGAACTTAGAACCCTAGCAAAAATTTTAATTCTAGCTGTTTCTTAGAGATTGTACAAACCAAAAAACCAAAAATAATCTCTAAGCACCCCTAAGTTAACGTAAGCCCTAAACCACGGGGTCGGCTCCTCATCTGCTGGCCAAGATGCCGACAGTAAGTTCGTGCGCTAGGACCTCGCCGTTGCAACGGTTGATGATATAAATCCTGCACTACCCATAATAAGGAACATACCACAATTCCCATAGGATGGGGTCCTTAAGGTAATGCAGGATTTACATCATCAACCGAAGGACCCAGAAACTCCACGAAAGTCACTAAAAGAATATGCCGCGAATGGGGTAGGATCCCCAATCTGAGGAATAGACCTGAGATTATAGTCGGACCCCTAATCGAAGGAATATACCCATAAATTAGAGTAAGATCCCTAATATGAAGAATGTACCTTGAGTTAGAATAGGATCCTTAACATGATGGGAGTATCAATTTGGTTATAGTTATAGTAGCATCCCTAAGGCCCAAACCCTAAAGTAGCATCCCTAATATGATTCAAGGCGTATTCTTTAAAAGAGTGATATTTGGAAGGTCTGAAGAGTTTTTGCATACTGCGGTTTCGCCGAAAGCTGGGGTTCAGGTCTTCCGTATTAATGCCTAGGGTTTAGATTTGGAAGTTAGGGTTGATTTATCTCCACCCCAAGCCCCAAGCCCCAAACCCCAAACCTGTGTGTGTGTGTGTGTGTGGAATTACGGTTTCGGGTTCGGGGTTTCTGGTGTGGTTCCTTCATCCTCGGCTGAAGCGGTGCAGTCTACACAACAAGCCTGGAGCAAGGGTGTGGGACTTAGGGTTTGCTTCGGGGTTGAAGGTGTAGGGGTTCACAGTTTCGACTATGTAGGATTTCGTGGCAGTTTCTTGGTTTCTTGCGGTGATGAAATGGCAAGTTGGGAAGTCTAAATACAAGTATTGACTAGCAGACTCTTACCCAACCCTGGCATTTAGGGTCTGGGAGTCCGCGAAAGTCCTCTCAAGTGCAGTTTAAACCCTAGGCCCCAAACGCTGAACCCCAAACCCGAAACCCCAAACCCGAAACCCTGAAGCAGTCTCGGCCCAGGGGAGCCCTGAAGACACCCACCTGCGTCAGCACGACGAGCTCTTGATCGCGGGAGTTTGCACGGCCCTGACGCACCGTCACTTGGGTCCGAATCCCTCAACCTTTAAACCCGAAACCTTAAACCCGCAACACCGAAACCCTAAACGGGTTCTGGATTCGAGGTCTCAGGCCCACGGCAGGTGTCGCCCCTAAACTTGAAAGGCCGGACCCCTAAAATCCCTAAACACCAATTAAAAGCCTGGCCTTGAGGCCCCAATCCCTAAAGCAACGGGCCCTAAAACCCGAAGCTCTAAACCTCTACTTAAAAGGATCATGGGACTTAGTAAGTAGGTTACATTTGGGCTTATAAGTCCCCTAAGTGGGGCTATCCCATTTATAACCTACTTAGAACCTTACTTACTAAGCCCCCATGAGCCTTTAAGTAGACCCTAAACCCTAAACCCCATCGATCCCTTTAAGGAACCCTAGAGATCCCTTTAAGGAACCCTATAGATCCCTTTAAGGAAC